GGAAACTTTGTGAGCCTTTCCCCTATTAATATGCCTCTGGTCAGTGATTTTCAGAGGGTCCAGGGCAGGTTTTCCCCTGGCGCCTACACCAAGGCACAGCCGGTCTGGCACGGCCGTGGAACCCCAGGACCGGGACCGGCGTGGCCACTGCAGCATGCACGCCTTCCAGGGCAGCGCGCAGTCACATCTCTGTGACACTGCGGAGCACACAGTGCCTTCTGACATACAGTCCCTAAAACCTGTGGCTCCCCAGGAGATAAGAATGTCTTTTGCATGCTACGGGGTGGCTAGAGGTTGCTTGCTTGGGGCGGGGCCTAGAAAGGCTCTCTATGGGGGCTGGTTGCCAGGGCAACCCACCCCCTGATTAGAGGGTGGCAACTTTCAGGCCCACATGGCTCCCCCACACAGCGCTAGGGAGAGGAGGGCTGAGGGTTGAGCGGACCGCCACGGCCAAGGTTTAATCAGTCGTGCCTACACAGTGCTCCACAGAAACCCGAAGGAAGGTTCTGGAGGGCGGCCTGGCCAGGGCCAGCCTTGGAAGCTCTGCGCCCTTCTCGCGCGCCTCGCCCTGCGAGCCTCCCATCCGACTGTGCACACGCGCGCTCTAACACCCTTTATGGCGAATGGGCACGTGTACCTTGGTAAGTGTCTCCCCTGAGCTCTGTGAGCAGCCGTAGCAAAGTTATTGGACCCCAATTACAGCTCGTCGTCGGTCAGAAGGCCAGGCCATAAGCTGGGCCTGAGACTGGCATCCTGTGGGTGGGGCGGGCTGGCGGGACTGGCCCCAGTCTGTGAGATCTGACGCTAGCCCAGGCTCGCAGCGTCGGAATCCAACTGAGTCAGAGGGCCGGCTGGGCAGCTGTGGAGACCTGCCTGGCTGTGGCCCGGGAGAAACCCCACACATCTTGGTGCCAGAGGCGCTGTGCCGTCCCGACCGTGCAAGACGGCCCCGTCTCTTTCATGACCCTGACGAGGAGCAGTTCAAACTCTAAGGTTTTACAGACCGTTGTCAGTGAGGAAGAAGCCTCATCTGTAATCGGAGAAGCGAAGGCCACAGCCGCCTGCACTGACTCAGGCCCCATGATCACGTTCCTCTGTGGCTCAAAATAATTTAGAGTTCCAACAGCTTAGAGTTTGAACTGCTCCTCGTCAGGGTCATGAAAGAGACGGGGCCGTCTTGCACGGTCGGGACGGCACAGCGCCTCTGGCCACCAAGATGTGTGGGGTTTCTCCCGGGCCACAGCCAGGCAGGTCTCCACAGCTGCCGCAGCCGGGCCCTCTGACTCAGTTGGATTCCGACGCTGCGAGCCTGGGCTAGCCTCAGATCTCACAGACTGGGGGCCAGTCCCGCCAGCCCGCCCCACCCACAGGATGCCAGTCTCAGGCCCAGCTTATGGCCTGGCCTTCTGACCGACGACGAGCTGTAATTGGGGTCCAATAACTTTGCTACGGCTGCTCACAGAGCTCAGGGGAGACACTTACCAAGGTACACGTGCCCATTCGCCATAAAGGGTGTTAGAGCGCGCGTGTGCACAGTCGGATGGGGAGGCTCGCAGGGCGAGGCGCGCGAGAAGGGGCGCAGAGCTTCCAAGGCTGGCCCTGGCCAGGCCGCCCTCCAGAACCTTCCTTCGGGTTTCTGTGGAGCACTGTGTAGGCACGACTGATTAAACCTTGGCCGTGGCGGGTCCGCTCAACCCTCAGCCCTCCTCCTCCCTAGCGCTGTGTGGGGGAGCCATGTGGGCCTGAAAGTTGCCACCCTCTAATCAGGGGGTGGGTTGCCCTGTCAACCAGCCCCCATAGAGAGCCTTTCTAGGCCCCGCCCCCAAGCAAGCAACCTCTAGCCACCTCGTTAGCATGCAAAAGACATTCTTATCTCCTGGGGGAGGCCACAGGTTTTAGGGACTGTATGTCAGAAGGCACTGTGTGCTCCGCAGTGTCACAGAGATGTGACTCGCGCTGCCCTGGAAGGCGTGCATGCTGCAGTGGCCACGCCGGTCCCGGTCCCTGCGGGTTCCACGGCCGTGCCAGACCGGCTGTGCCTTGGTGTAGGCGCCAGGGGAAAACCTGCCCTGGACCCTCTGAAAATCACTGACCAGAGGCATATTAATAGGGGAAAGGCTCACAAAGTTTCCTTCTAACCTGCGAAGCATGGAAGGATGGGGAGATCCCAGGAGCACGATTACTCAGTACCTCAGTGAGGTACAAAGGCTAGTATGCCCTTTTTGGGGGGAGCATGGGAGATGGGGAAATGCGAATGAGATTTCACATTTAGTAAATGACTTTTAGGAAAATTCGATGGGCTTCGAGAACGTGCAATGGCCTGGAACAAAGTCTATTGGGTCCACAGGGCAGACAGCGGATTGTGACTGAAGTCTATGTAAGTGTGTTGACAGACTTCAGTCTCTCTTCCTACAATATGAGTTAAATTAATGAAAACACAGAGAAAGGACCAGTTGTAATTGTTTGCCGCTTTTTCAGGTCTACACTTTAGGCAGATAAAGGAGTATTAGAGAAAAGCTGCTTCTAGGGTCTGCTGTTCTTCAAAGCCCTTTAATTTAAAATAATCAGCGTACCAGGGAGGCTTACTTGGGGGAAGAATTCCCCCATCTCCCTCAGTGGGAAGGGTGCACTGTGCCCAGCAGAATGAGGATTGGGATACTGGTGAGCAATCTAAAGAACACTGAGTCACAGACACTCATGTGTGGCTAGAACAATGGGCTTGCGAGTGTAGTTCATCTTTTATTAGCTGTGCTATGAGTAACGTCAGTTCCAGTAAATTTCCATGTTTATAAAATGATAAAACAATATATTATTTAGAGGACTAAATTAAACATATTTGAAAACACCCCTATCCCCCAAATTAATCTATATGAAAATATTGCAAAGTTATCATTTAATGAGAAGTTTGGTATAATTTATTGGCTACCAATTGATGAGTTGCTTGAATTCGTAAATCAATAAAGCCAAATATATTGAGTCAATCATTTGAATGTAGGAATAACTAGTGTAATAAATTAGTTTATTCAATCTTATGTTCTTTAAAACAGTATATATTCAGTATTTTTTAAATTTCATTTTCAAATCTAATTTATGGCAAGTAATGAAAGCAGATAGTAGCTTCACTACTTACAGGGAAAGAGTTTTGTCCCATAATGAGAAAACCGATCTCTACCGTAAAATTCAGCATCTCTCCTCTTGGGCAGATGAATATGTACCAACTGCAGGACTTTGTGAAAATCATCATGGCACTCTCAGACTCAGTGACCTCATAGTCCCATTTCTGTTTCTTGAATGAAATAATTAATAAATCAATTCAACCATTATTTCCATTTTATCACAGCCACTCTTGTAGGCCTTGTAAAATATCATTGAACAACAACAACAAAAAGTTATGCTACAAATTTATCGTTTCACATTGCATGTATTTACCTAAATTAACCAAAATACACAGAATGTGAGAAGATATGCAGAACATTGACGACAGGAGGAGGAGGGTGACTAGAAGCTCCCACGTGGAGTGCGGAGACCAGGAAAGGCCTCGCCCCGAGGAGCAGCCCGCCCCCGCCTGCGGGAGCAGAGCCTCCGGGCAGCAGCCGCGCGGGCGAGGCCTGCGGGGGGACGCGGCCGCCTTCCGGGCCGGCCGGGCGGCGCGAGGGCCCCAGCAGAGGGGGTTCTGGAGAGTGGGAGAGGACACGGGAGGCCAGAAAGGCAGGCCACTGTGGGCGTGGCACCTTACCTCTGAGTGAACCGGGAAATCGTTGGAAGGGAACCTAGAAAAGCGGCTTGCCTACGCTAGTCTGCGAGGCTCGCTCCCTGCGCTTCGTCGTGAGTGAACTGCGCGGGGGAGACCGGAGAGGAGACGCAGTCTCCCGGGGCCTTTCCGGTAGGTCCGTGAGGATTGCCTGTGGACCGAACAGGTGTCTGCACTAGCGGCGCTGAGAAATGGACAGCTTCTTGGTATGTTCTGAAGGCAAAGCTGTAAGACTTGCTGTTGAATTACGTATGACATGTCAGGGAGAGAGAAAAGCCACGAACGATGCCAGGGGTTTGATCTCAAGAGTTAGGAAAATGAGATTTCCATTTGCATTGATGAGGAAAGCTGCGAGGAATACAGAGGGAGGGTTGGGTTCTGGACATGTGGGTGTTGTGGTGAAGGCTAAATATGCTGATGTTGATGTCAGGAGGGCAGATGAATTTCCAAGTGTGGAGTTTCGGGAGAAAGGTCTGTGCGTTTGGAACCCGTCCGCATGTGAATGGAATTTCATTAAAGCGAGAGCCAGCCAAGCCCAGAACACACGGTGAGTGCGCTGAGGCGGGGGTCCCAGTCTGGAGGCCGTAGCGTTCTCCAGTGGTGCGGGAGGAGGAGAGGACCGCGAGGGGCGAGAAGGGGCAGCACTAGAGAGCGCAGGACCCGCGCATGGCTGCTGTCTGGGGAGAAGGTGGCTTTGCAGGACAGGTGGACTCTCAGGTCCTGAGTGCTGCAGCGAAATCATTTGAGATGAGCTCTGACAAATGCCTGTCCATCACCGTGGAGGGCCCTGGGAAGACGAACGTGGGCAGTGCGGTTCCAGCGTGATCTTATCAGGACGAGCAGTGGGGTTTAAGAGAGAGAGGGTAGGGAGGCATGGGAGATAGGCCTCCTCAAAAGCCATTTCACAGATCTCTTTCGCTACAAAGAAGCAGAGAGATGTGCTGGCGCGGGAATGACGTGTAAAGACACACATCTGTTAAATACACAATTCCATGGCGCCCCACCTCTCAGTCCTGTCATCACTCCCTGCGGAGTTTGGGGAAATCCCATAAACTCTTTGCCTCTGGACGCCCCGGCAGAAGGTGGAGGGGTGCCGCCGGCCGCGGTGACTGCGCGCACTTAGGGCGACGGCGCGGTGCCTGGTGCGCGGCCACGCCGCTGCGCGTGATGGGAGTCCGCTAGGCGGGGTTGAAGGGCGGCGTTGGCCGTAGCAGGAGTGGTAGTGTTTGTTACGGCATTTAAAAAGCTACATTAACGGACTCACTGCTTCTGATGCTTGCAAGGAAACACGCTTAATGTTTTACACCCTCCCTTCTTCCCTGAGGCTGCGCATCTGGACGCGCATGTTCATTGCGCATGCGGGGCAGAGGTCACGCCGGTGTCCCTCAGACTTGCACAGTATCGGCGTTAGTTTTCTATCGTTATGTTACGAATTACCGCAAACGTAATGGCTGAAATCATGCCCTTGTTAGCTCGCGGTTCTGAAGATCCGACGCCCAGGTGGGGCTCCCCCAAAGCCAAGGTCAGGCTTCTCCGAAGGGCCTGGGCAAGAATCCAGGCCCACTCAGGGTCTCGGCAGGATGCAGCTCCTGCGGACTGAGGTCCCTGCTGTCTTGCTGGTGACAGCTGAGGCCACTTTCAGCCCTGGATGTCACGCGCCTTTCTGCTCACATGACTTTCCGTCTTCAAAGCCAGCAGCGACGTACCACATCCCAATCTCACGACTTCTCCTTCCGCCACCAACCAAATAGCCAGAGAAACCTTTCTGATTCCCGAGGGCTCGTGCCATCAGATCCGGCCCACCCATGTAGTCTTCTCTTGTCATATGATGGGACATAGTCATGAGGCTAGTGCCAGAGTGTGCAGGTCATAGGATCCGTTTTAGAATTCTGCTCCCCACGGTCACATAACCTTGAAAGTAGTGGATTTCATATCAGTGAAATTTTCCCATAGAGGTTAAGGAAAAAAATCGCTAAGGGGATTATAAACTTTATGTTACATGCAGAAGAGCCACCTAAGTGCACCAGAAGCTTTGGAGATAAGCCGGGCACTGTGTTGCACTCCTGTAGTCCCAGCTACTGGGGGGGCTGAGGCAAGGGGAATCCCTGAGTCCAGGAGTTTGAGGCTATAATGTGCCATGATCGTGCCTGCAAAGAGTAACTTCACACCAGTCTGGACAACATAGCAAGACCCCACCTCTTTAAAAAAATTGGTCTGGATGTAGATGAAAGGAATCTCAGTGACTGAGCTTTGGCTTGTCATCACCAGTGGTTGTGCTTTTATTGGGGAGATTAATGAGTCTGGATTATGCAGAGGTGACAGTGGAATGCACGAGGAAGTAATTAATGGTGAATAAGCTCAGTGACCTGCAGGGAGAAATGCAGCTCTGGGCCTGGCAGAGAGAGAACACCAGTGTACTGTTCTCCTCACTGGCTCCCCCAGACGCTCCCATCTTTTCCATCCTCTCACGTGTTCCACAAAATTCTTTCCACAGTCGATGTCCAGCTGGACCCTGCCACGGCGCATCCCGTCCTCCTCTTGACTGCCGACCTGCGCAGCGTGCAGGAAGGGGAGCTCTGGAGGGGTGTCCCCCACAACCCCGAGCGGTTTGACACGTGGCCCTGCGTCCTGGGCCTGCAGAGCTTCTCGTGGGGAGGCACTACTGGGAGGTGGCTGTGGGAGAAGGAGCCGGGTGGGGTCTGGGTGTCTGTCAAGACTCGCTGCCGAGGAAGGGGGAAGCCGCGCCGTCCCCCGAGAACGGGGTCTGGGCCCTGTGGCTGCTGGAGGGCAGCGAGTACCTGGTCCTCGCCTCCCCGCCCGTGCCTCCTCTCCGGCTGGAGCCGCCTCGCCGCGTCGGGGTTTTCTTGGACTATGAAGCCGGGGAAACCTCATTTTACAATGTCACGAGTGGCTCTTACATCTACACATTCAACCCGCTGTTTTCTGGTTTTCTCCGGCCTTATTTTTTCATCTGTGACATGAATCCTCTGATCTTGCCACCTGTGACAGAAGCAGCGTCAGGAAATTGGGCATCCTCCAGTCATCCGGACGCTGCTCCTCCTGTTGGAGATGACCATCCCTGAAATTCTGCCCCGAGGCACAGGCCTGGCCCGGCAGAGGTTCCTGAAGCGGAGGGAAAGCCATGAGCACCGGTACCAGCAGCTGCCCTGCGGGGCTGTCCCGGCACGGAGAGAAGCTGGGGCAGTTGCGGTGGAGGGCTGAGCGGCTGCGTTTCAGGAAGGGCCCATCTCGTCTGTCTGCAGGTGACCCCACATGCTTTCTTGATGGCTCTTCCTTCAAATCAGCGACCTCGTATGACACACAGGTTTCTGTGCCTTCATCACGCTTTCTCATGCCTCCCGATAGCTGTTTTCACCCCTGATCTTCCGTGTGTTAAGTATCAGAAATGGCGGTTCTTACCTGGGCTCAGAATGGGCTGATGTCACTCCAGCGTCAGGCCCACAGTTCTGTTTCTCCTTTTCCTTATTTTCCTTCTCTTCTCAGTTTCTCCCTCCTCTGTCTCTGTCTCTGTTTCTGTTTGTCTCTATCTTTCTTGTTGTGATTTTTACTTCTTATTATTTAACCTGTCCTTTCCTTCTAAACTAAAATATTGGGAGCCATTCCTTTACACGTTCATCATTGCTGTGACTATTTACTTTCTAAATTCTCTTTATTCTGGGAAGACTTTTTGAGGATTAGGAAATTTATTCCTCTGAATCTAATATCAGGGATTTCTAGTCTTTTTCATTTATCTTTGGCTACGTTATTTTTATTGCAGGGATATCTCAGAATTTTGATTTAACTAGTCCTTTGACCTGGATAGTTATTAGTTTAAGACCTCAAACACATAACACCTGTCTCTCTCTCAGTCTCGGCTGCTTTTCCCAGTCCCTGTGTGTGGAACAGTGGCACTGGCCATGGTAAATATTTAAGGGTGTAATTGATATTGTTGGTTTAAATTCAACTTTTCTATTTAAATGCAATATAAATGTGATGATGAGGAGGATGAAATCATAATAATATTTAACTTATTTCTAAAGTGTATTCTGTACCTTTCTTGCCAAAATTCTTAAAAACCATTGAAGGCTAACTTTTCTGCCGTCATTTCTGTATCTGTATCTAATAAATAATTGCAAAACAAATGTTAAAATGCTTCAATGCCAAATGCTTCAATGATAGCCAAATACGAATTAATGGCAAATTGCTTGACATTATCCTGATAATGATCTGCCGGTGTTTTAATCCTCTTCTTTAACTTCTGACTGACATCTTTTGGGTACCTTCCAATCATATTATTAAGGTAGCTTTCTTTGAAGATTTTCCAGTTGTCTGATCATAAGCAAACACTTGCCCTCTCTGTCAGTCACTTTCAATCAGAGGCGATAACACACCCTTTCAACCCTCAGGTGCTATTTTACCGAGCGCACGTGCCCCGGGCCTCTCTGATGCCTGCTCTGGGCGGGCACAGGGGCTTCAGCTCAGCAGTGGAGCCCCTTCCCCAAGGGGATCCAGAGGGACTGAGTCCCTGGTTTGGGATCCCTCATTCCATGGGGTCCAGCCGTTCCCTGGGACAAGGAAGCTGGGTGGGAAGGAGAGTCCTACCCGGGCCTTTTACTTTCTTCCTAGGATGAGAAGAGAGTCCCAGGGATACCCCATCCCTACCGTGTAACCGACATTCCGATCTCCACCATCTTCCTTCCATCTTGTCATCTCACTGTGGTTTTATTGCGCTTTATGTCAATCATTAAACTGACGTCTGCCTTCATCCCTCACATTGTAAGCTTCATAAAGCTCTGTGCGTCTCCTGCGATGACCCCCTCTCCTTCCTTTCCAATCCCCACTACTCCCTCTGGAATTCTGCTTCATTACCTGCAAACTACTCTGAATCCATACTATTTCCTGACCTTCCCCATCCTTTCCTTTCTCCTGAATGCTAGTCTTTTATATTCAACTGTCCTCTTGAAATCAAAAGAGACGCTGAACCCCATGTGCCTATAACTTAGCCCTGATTTTCTCCCCAAGTCCCGCCTCAACAAGAGCCGCTGAATCGCAGGCCTCTCCGTCTCCGTGGGTGGCAGCGGCTCGCTAGCCAGCGCTCGGGCCGACGTCGGCCGACTCCTTTCTGGACTTCACAGCTCGCACAGCAAACCCGCTGGGCCTCCTCCCGACGTTTCCAGGGTCGGCCAGCCCTGACCACGCTGCTGCCAGGACCACGGTCTGAACCTCGTCCTCCCGCTGGACAGGACACTCACTTCCTGACGGTGGTCCGGCCCGGCTCCAGCCCTCCCGCGTCCCTCCCGGCGCAGCGCCCGGTGACCCTTCAGCGCCCAGGACAGTGACACCTCAGCGACCTCCTGCTCAACTTACAGTCGGGATCTGCACAGTGAGCCCTCAGACCCCGGAGGCCTGAACCTCGGTCCTTTCTCTGCTCCTCTCCTCCTCTGACTTCCCTGTTCCTTCTGCGTCCGCCGCCCTGGCCTCTGGGCAGGCGCCTCCAGCAGAGGCTTCCCCGCCCGCCGCTTCTGCTGGAAATGGCCTCGGCCCTGGTGCCCTGGCCGCCTTCCCGCTCCTCCCTGTGTCTGCTGCAGCCCAGCTCCGGGCGGCAGCACGCAGCCCGGCCGGGCCAGAGCACCTCGCCCGCCCCCTGGGGAGAGGAGGCCGTCTTCTCACGAGGCGCGGGCCGACTTCTGATGGGTTGTGGTGTCCACGTGTCTGTGAGGGCTGCTTTTATTTATTCAGTTTTTCCTTTTAATGGTGGAATGTAAACCACATGAGGAGAGGGATTGTTGTCGATTGACAATGGCGTGTTCATCGACGCATCCCAAGCACCAAAGCGAGGGTTTGTGTGTGGTTATCGCTCAATGCATATTTGTTGAATGAACAGATGACTATTTGGAGAACAGAATTAAATGATGGACCCGAAAGTGTTTTGTGACATTAATATACTGTAGTGATAAAATAGTAGTAATTTTATTATAATTATTTATAACTAGACAACTACTGGCCAGTAAAGTTTAATGCCAAGTGCTGAGTGCGTAAAATTGATTTGGGGGTACAGAGGAAATTGGAACAGCATTTCCAATTTCTGCGCTTGGTTTGCGCAGGTGATGGTTTCTATGGGCGTGGTGACTTGCCGTGTCCAGGCGCCGTCCCGTTGAGTGCCTGGTTTTGATTCCCTATGGCATCACGGTGACGCCTTTGAATCATGCCTTGTCTCAGACTCACGCCGCAAGTCATGTCTCCATGTTGTACTCACTAGGAATGTGGGGAACTTTATACATCAACTTACATGGACTGAATCCTTTTTTTCAAAAAAATTGACTTTCTCACTCTGCAGCCAGGCTGGAGTGCATGATCAGAACTCACTGCACCTTCGAACTACTGGGCTCAAGGGATCCTCCCACTTCAGCCTCCCGAGTGGCTGGGGTCACGGGTGTGCACCGCACACCTGGCGGACTTCGCGTGTTTCACGTGCCTCTGTTCACCCGAACTGTCCAGTTGAGCTGCTCCCTCTACAAGTGGATGTCCGGGGGCTTCTGTGCTCCCCGTCACTTCCCCATTACTGTGCGTCTCTCCGTTATTGGACACTGGAATTTTTTCTAGCTCAGATAATCGAGTTTTTCTTTCCTTACGTAGCCTTAAGCACTGCTCTGATAACTACTAATGAAATTCTTTTCTTCCCTCTAAGGCATATTTTAAAAATCAGCCCCCGTAATTAAATTCTACATTTTTCTAAGCCATAACCTCCAGAACTGTCTGTCTGGATCTGTGTCTATATATCCTGAAGACTGGATGATTTTTTCAATAACCAGTTTGATCGTTCCTTTGCTCTCACACCCCTACCCCTGATCAGGTGACTGTTTTATCAACTGAAGTAAATAAGTAAACTCATTTTTTTTCTAGCATGTTGGGAAGGCCCCAAAGGAGGAGAACTGGGAGGGGTGGCATGTGGAGTTGGTCCTGAGTGGGAAGTAAACAGCCTCATTAGCCAGCAAAGGACTGGAACGAATTTAGAGTGATGATTTCGACTCCTGGCATCCCACGGGCGGAGAAAGTGGAAGCACTGGGGCTTATTAAACCCGCCTGCTCCCCAAGCACCCACCCTCAACGCCTGCTTCTGGTGGCTCCTGGGGCGCCCTGTGGCTCTGCTCTCTGGCACACAGGAGTGGGGTGCGGTCTGCGTATGTGCAGCACACATGTTCTACACATCTGCGGACTCTACACGTTCCCTTGTATGGAACGTTCTCTTCACTCTCCCATTCTATGACTACATGTACTCAAAAGTACCCAAACAGTCATCTTGATAAATTTCTTAGTCAATCGACCCAAACAAAGTAGTCTGGTTTTTGTATGACACTCCCTGCCTGATGTTAGGGACCCAATTTCTATTTATTCATTTCTTTCTTTCTTTATTTTTAAAAGTTTTCAGCCTTGTGATGTCATTTTTGCCTTTACAAGAACATTGAAAACATGGTTACGTACACATAATCTCATTAATCTAAGTAATGATACCTGCTGGATTTCCTTACACTTAGTTTTTGGTTTTAAAGCATAAACCATGTATGCCAACTCTTCATTTCAAATCAAAAGATAAAAATACCTAAAACAAATGCGTTACCCTGTTAGCTCCTTAACTCAGTAATAAACTTCATATTAATTAGTACACCTATGGATTTATTCCACTATTTAGGACAAAGGGTTCTTCTCTATATACACAAAATTATTAGTGCAAAGAGAGTGTCACAATATTTTTGCCTTATTTTCAATAGATATAAGAAGAAAAAAAAAAACAAAATGCATGATTCCTTTCTAGGTAGGATGGGATGGATTAGACCTCAGCTATTTTGTTTTTTGTTTTTTGGGTTTTTTTTAGCCACATCATGATTCCCGGGAACAGGGGAGGGAAGCAAATGGCCAGTTAGTATTTATGCCTTTAGAAAAACAATGGATTAAGTCTCCCAATTTTGCTTACATGAGATAGTACATTGTTTTCATATCAAGGGATACATTCTCATGGTCCTCATTTTCTGTCCGGACCCCACGGGAGATTGGAGAAGTTGATGTGATACACACCTACAACATGCCCCTGTGTATGTGCTAATGATCCCTGTGGGCTTGAAGTTTCCCCAGTGCTGGGGGCGTGAACCCGACCACCTTCAAGGTCCTGCTCCAGTCTTTCCCCAAGAGAGCTGCATAATTCTGCAATTGCAGCGAACCCTTCTGCACAAATATCATAGTCTCTTGGATGTATAGAGGAACGGGTCAAGGCTGAGACACCTTCCGTTTTGCCCACATCTGGAATTGCACCTGGCCACACCACCTGTGTACACACAGAGGGTAGAAAGCGTTGCATGATCTGACGGAGGTCCTCTCGCTAGCGCTGTGCCCTCTGCATTCTGACTTTCAGTGTTACCTGGCAGCATAGGAATACAGATGGTGAGTAGATTTCTGGATGCAGGAGCTCAACTCAGAAACCTGTACTTCTCAGTTGGTTTGTTACATAAAAAGCCACGGGGAGGGCCTGAAGGGATAGAAAAGGAGAAAGTGAAGAATGTCCTCCTTGCTCTTGGAAAGCTTATAGATGAGGACAGACACACCAAGACACAAAAGTACACAAACAACACATACATCACAACTCATTATTTAATTATAACAAAGCAATACACTTACCAATGCAAAGTTATTTGTAAAGGATGGAATATAAATATGCTGAGAAGACAATATATGAAGAGACATAAAATAAAGGGTTTTGGGTTTTTTTTTTATGTTGGGATTCGAGTTTATCTTTTAAAAATGATTTTTCGGGCAGAAGTAAGGAAATGAGATCTGAGATGTGAGTTTTATTTTGACAAAATAAAAAGAGCAATGAAAAGAGTATTGTCAGCCTGTTGGTGGGGGGCGCAGAGCCCACAGGCTTGTGTGTGGGGCGATCTAGGTCTGTGCCCTGCTCTGAAAACCTAGATTCCATTTCCTACTACTGCACAACGCTGCTAGTGTAGCCACGCTTTCATGTGTTTAAAGCTCTTTACTTTTCAAGATTAAAAATTATTTTTAATTTTTTAAATTAAAAAAGCAAACTAATTTAACTTTTTAACTTAAAAAATTAAAAATAAACTAAAATATTTAACCACATGCCTGTCCCCATCCTTCAGGAACTGAGAAAACGTACACGTGGTTGACTGGTGGTTTGTGCGTGACCATCTCTGAGATGGACCAGTGCAGAGGGGCGTGGCTGCTCAGCTGTTTGATCAGCACCTGTAAGGAGAGAGAAATCTTGCCTTGTGATACACTGGGCACACGCACGCCCAGACATACACGTTAAACAACCATTTTACAGAGCGACAGTGCCTTCATGCCGCTGGGCTGCTCCCCTACTTCAATCCCAGCAACACCGTATCTGAAAAATCACATGTCTTCAGAGATTGGATTCACTTCTTGATCTCTCTGTGGGTCACTATTCACATTTGTGGGGAGAATCAGGGGTCTGCAGCGTAGTGAGTGACACTGCCTTTCAGGGTTTCCAGCTTCGAGTCTCGCAGAGGAGACTTCCTGGCAGCAGGGAGGGCTCGAATGGCCGCATTAATCGGTGAACTAAGAATCACTCGTGCCCCGAGCTGAGCTCTGCTCTGGGCCAAGGTATGAAAGGCAAAAGGGTGAAATGTCACCCGTCTCTCCCTTCACCAGGAGAGCCACTTGGCAGAGTAGTGACAAATTCATAGCAAATACAGAATAAACTGCTGTGTCCAAGAAATGGTACATAATTAGTTTAAAAATGACAAAATTTACAGTGGCTATGGAAGGTCCGTATAGGATGTAAATCCTGGGGATGCAAAGAGAGCTGTAAATATTGGCCGTCGTGCCAACAAGGAGCTCTGCGCAGAGGGAAGAAAGCTAACCACGTTCTTCCCAAAGTTTGAATTCGGGGAAGAAAGTATTTGCTCCTTCCCAGAACCTTCCAGAAAGTGAAGTGGCCACGCGTCCCTGCAGGACCCCTTTCTTCCATGGGGAGGCGCGTCCGCAGGCAGCAGGCTCAGGACACTCCCTTCCAGAGCTGCGGCGAGGCCAGTGCCCAGCGTGTACTTATTTGCTTGTTTTGAGGGGAGGGAGAGAGACGAAGTCTGTGTCCAGTTTTTAAAAACAGCATCTTAGCTCAGTGGCCTCAGGTGTGAGCGAGGGCACTCGTGCAGCCGGGAGCTGAGACACAGACAGGCCTCTGGGCAGCCAGTGTGCACACGTTAGTTGGCGCCGGAACCAGCGGGCGCCCTCTCTTGTTTGAGGGGAGAAATGAGGCAGCATTTCGGTTAGAACTGACAAGATGTGAGGCATTGGCATTAACGTTCCCTTTCTGTTGTTGAGAGCTTACCTCCACATCACAATTGAGAAAACAGGAAGATTTAGAAGATCTGAACTCAAGTTATCACGAAAACCAATCAATCTCATGTCCTTTCACCATATTTGACCTTATTTTCAGCTCCTTGTTCTTACCTTAATCTTATTTCATAGGATTCACAATTTTAGGACCATGAAATTATGTAGCACTTTGTTATAAAATATCATGTTTTTGTGGCGATTGAAAATTTGTCTTTTTTTGTTTCTACTTTCCTGCTTTTCTTCCTACTTTTTCGTTTTTTCAGTTTGTTAATATTTAGAACAACAAAATACTAAGAGAAATGGGACAGTGATCTCTGAAAAGGAGAATGGCAAACTTAAAAAAAGATATATTAACACATTTTTAAAAATTCAATGATTTGTAGGAAAATTTCCTAATATCCTGTTATTTTATAAGCATCTGTATATGCGCATTAACAGAAAAAAACCCAAACTCTGTAGCATAAAGAGGTTTATTCTGAGCTGAATATGGGTGACTGAGGCCCAGGGTCTGTGCCCAAGAAGTCTGGAGGAGGTGGTTGGGTTACGGTTAAGTTTTATGCATTTTAGGGAGATAGGGATTCTAGGTAAAATCGTGAATTGGTACATGGAAGGTGCATATTGGTTTGGCCTGAGCAGGCGGGACATCTGGAAGTGGGGTATTACGGGTTACAGGCAGCTTCAAACACTCTTTGATTTGTAGTTGGTTAAGGAAAGGAAGCTTTGTCCAAAGGCTTGGGAAGTGTTCAGTTAAAATAAGGAAGGCTGCAGATGCACAAGCCACACTGTGGGGACCCAAGTGGTCCTGCTAAGCGCTCGGATGGCCTGCGGGTGATTGGGCCTTTGCCCTGCTCAGCCTTAGGGCCTGTGAGCCAGGCAGCACCTCCTAGTCACAAAGAGGCTGTTTGTCAGCCTTACGGTCTCTGCCTTCACATCAGTGCGGTCAACTGTGTGTAAAAACTCCAGAAGGGAGGGGGTGTACAGAGGCGTGTCCGACCCTGCCCCTCCGGCCAGGAGCTCAGCCTTAGGGTTTCTCCAGGTCCCCTTGGCCACCAGGGCTCTGTTGAGTTGACAGGGGGCTTAGGAGTTTATCTTAGTTCACATATGGATTTTTTTAATTTCAAAATAATCCATGATTATTGGTTATCGTGTCATGAAAAACGGATCATGTAAAAACGAAAGTCTCCCTTATCCTGCATTTCACTCTCCAGAAGTGAGTCCTTTTAACAATTCAGTGCATCCGTCCAGACATGGGCCACGATTTAACATAAATGCATCCACGCGTTGCTTTGTGGTGGCGACATGTTCTGAGAAACACGTTGCCGGGCCATCTCGTCGTCCTGGGAGCCTCCTGGGCCGCCGACTGCGCGTGGCCGTGGGCGTGGCCCGCGTCTCCTGGCCAGGCCTGCAGGCGGCGCTGCGCTGGGTGCCGGGCAGCGCTGACAGGCGGTGAGCCCGCTCTGAGCACCGCGCGGAGGGGCGCGGTGAAGGCGCAGCGGGAGCGTCAGAGCCTGGCGCGCCTGCGCAGGAGCAGGCGTGTGCTGCCGATGGGCTTGCGGGCGGGGGTGCTGAGCGGATGTGAAGGTCATCACTAGGACATCGCTTCGCTCCTGTAGACTTTATAGACACTGTGAGCTTAGCCCACAATAAATTTATGAAAATATTGTTTCCTTCTCTCAGTAATGACCTTAACTTACTGTAATTTTTTAGTTTGTAAAGCTAATATTTTTTTACCTTTTTGAGCTTTTGGTAATAGCACTTAGCTTAAAACACAACACATTATATAGTTGTACAAAAATATTATTTTTATATCCTTATTCTATAAGTTTTTTCCTATTTACATTTTTTTAAAACTTTTTAAACTTTTTTGTTGAAAACTAAGACACAAACACACACATGATCCTAGGCCTACACAATGTCAGGATCATCAATATCACTGTCTTCCACCTCCCATCTTGTCACATCCAAAGGTCTTCACGGGCAGTGGCACGCATGGAGCTGTCATCTCCTATGATAAGGATGCTTTCTTCTGGAAGCCCTCCTCACGGACCTGCCTGAGGCTCTTTTTGAGGAGGCGGGACCACCAAAGATGTGGTTTGTTGTTGACCAAAGTGTTGTTATGCAGCAGCACATGATTGTGGTGTGTGTGTGTGTGTGTGTGTGTGTGTGTGTGTGGAGAGAGAGAGAGAGAGAGGGAGAGGGAGGGAGAGAGAGTTTGTGACCAAAGAAAATGGAGTCACACTACATATAATCTCACTGTACACTATAGTTTGCTTTCCACTCATTTGAAATGAGTATCTTTTTTGGGCAAAATTCCTGGTGGTGTCACATATATATTTATTCCAATTTAGTAATTGTTTCCAGTTCATGATGTTGTCATTATCTATTAAGTCATGTCTGTAACATTAAACATATAAAATCTTTCTGAGTATTTTCTATTTCAATCAATGCTATAGTGAAGATTTTTAAGGATGTGCAGTTACTGATCGAGGGTTGATAAATGCAGGGCAGACTGCTAAATGTGGAATGAATTAGGCAAGGAGAGAGACATGTAATTTTAAATTTTATGGATGGCAGATATTTCTTTTGTTAACAGAACATGTACAATGGGAAGGTATATGTGTATTTTCAGTAGTAATCTGTTTTTTGAGATCTCTCCAAAGATACTATTCCAATTTCAAATCTTATCAAGAGTTCATAAGGATGGCTTTATTTTCCACACTGTTCCAAGCTCTGGATGTTACCATACTTTTCAGTATTTACCTATCTGAAAAGCCAATACCTTTATATGTATATTTTAATTTTTATATCATCAATCATCGGTGAGAACATTTCTAATATGTATAAGTCACTTGTCTGTAAATCATTCATCTGTGAACTGCTTTTTCAAGTCATTACTTAATTTTAGTTTGTAACATCTTTTTCTTGCCAAAAATTTGAAAAAAAAATCCTAAGTAAGGTACCCTTTCTATTGTCTCATTGAATTTTCTAGTATTGTCATTATTTTTAGATTTTAGTAGTGTTTCTTAGAGTGTCGATTTTTTAAAAATATGCAACCAAATTTATCCACAGTTTGCTTTTCAGTTTTTGAGAATTGCAACTCAGCCAGCTTGTGAAATTTACTTAAATCTAAAAAGATCAAGAAAATAAAAAAAATATCATGCTTTCTTATAGTAGTTGTATTTTTTAATGTTTATATATATATATATATATTTTGTTGTTGTTGTTTGTTTGTTTGTTTTGTTTTGTTTGCATGGTGGCTCATGCCTATACTCCCAGAAGTTTGGGAGGCTGAGGTGGGAGGATCATTTGAGGCCACAAGTTCGAGGCTGCAGTGAGCTGTGATCACACCGCCGCACTCCAGCCAGGGCAGCAGCAGGAGACCCGTCTCCATAAGTAAAATCCGTAATTTGTTTCGGCGTCAGTCTAGAGAAGGGACCCACACCACCCTCCTCCCCCACAACTGCCTTGCCAGTTATCATGTCTTAGTTATTATATTTCCAAAGTATGTTTGCATAAATGTTAAGATAGTTTCTTTTCATTAGTTTTTTTTTTTAATTCATAATTTCTCTGCCTAGATTCGTGGGTTTATTTTTCTATTCTGTGTTCGCATGACATGTCTGCTGTGAAACCTTTACACACACACACACACACACACACACACACACACACCAAACTCTTATATATTTTATACTGTTTTCATATTTTGAAAAATCTCAAAACATCTATAAAATAAGTAAGGTAAAGGTTTGATTATGACCATTTTAGATGAGAAAACTAAGAAAAGGTAAAGGAACTCTCTGAGATCCATGATCATGTCGTGCTGGCTTAGTGACTGCAACAGAAGAGCTTGTGGCCGTAGCCCAAGCTGTATTGATCTGTCTCTATATCTGTCCGTAAGACTGCGGTTTACCTCATCAAACATGCTTTTTCTTCAGATGTGATGCAGTGTTGAGATTGGAATCTGATAGAGGTTTCTGCACAGATGTGTGATTTATTGTGTCAAAATTATATTATCTGCTACAATTTTTTTCCCCTCAAGCAATATATAGTACCTTGGAAGAAAAAAATATATATTCTATCTCTTCAGTACCAGACCCAATTAAGAGAGAGAAAGAGATATTTTACATGTTCTGTTGCTTTAGTAGTATTATCATTTATCTACTCAGGTAATTAAAAATTACCTCAAAATGATAACCAAATGAATGAGGTATTTATTTGGGATCAAGAGTAAGATGTTCTGCATATAATGGATATTTCCTGAATACTTTTAATATTGACAGATAATTGGAGGGTTCCATGAGGTGTTGGCAGGAGTTTAGTCCCTTGGGTCTCTGGAGGAATGGATGGCTGGGCCGTGGCAGAGTGTGTCTTTCACATCATTGGGGTCAGAGACACTTCAAGCAGTGGTTAAGGATGAAAACTTTTAAGCCTCATTTCCTAGGATTAAAGTCAGCTCTGCCTCTTTCCACATATGACAATTTTTCTTAAGCCACATATGTCTTAGTTTCCTTTTTTATGAGTTTGGAGATGATAATAATAGTGCCCACTCCATACTGTTGTTGTTGGGGCTAGATGAACACATGTAAAAGCAGAGAAGGAGGACGGGCTTACAGTAAGTGCTCCCTTAATGTCAGCTGGTGGTGTCGTCAGTACTGATCTTTCTGTTCAGGGGCGGTAGCGATGGAAGGAGCCAATGACAGCTCCCCAAACCATTTCATCCTTGTGGGGTTCTCTGACCACCCCCGTCTGGAGAGGACCCTCTTCGTGGCCCTCCTGATAGCCTACCTCCTCACGCTGCTGGGAAACTCCAGCATCATCCTGGTGTGCCGGCGGGACCGCCAGCTGCACACCCCCATGTACTTCTTCCTCACCCACCTCTCCTTCCTGGACCTCTGCTTCACCACCAGCTCCATCCCCCAGCTGCTCCACAACCTCAGTGGACGTGACAAGACCATCAGCTACTCGGGCTGTGCCACCCAGCTCTTCCTGTTCCTGGGGCTGGGCGGTGTGGAGTGCCTGCTCCTGGCCGTCATGGCCTACGACCGGCTGGTTGCGGTCTGCAGGCCGCTGCACTACATGGCGACCATGAACCCCAGGCTCTGCCGGGGCTTGGTGTCGGTGGCCTGGGGCTGTGGGATGGCCAACTCCTTGGCCATGTCTCCAGTGACCCTGCGCTTGCCCCGCTGTGGGCACCGCAAGGTGGACCACTTCCTGTGTGAGATGCCAGCCCTCATCCGGACGGCTTGTGTCAACACTGTAGCCGTCGAAGTCACCGTCTTTGTCCTGGCGGTGGGCATTGTGCTGTCCCCCTTGGTGTTCATCCTGGTCTCTTATGGCTATATCGTGAGGGCCGTGCTACAGATTCCATCGGCATCAGGGAGGCAAAAGGCCTTCAACACCTGTGGCTCCCATCTCGCCGTGGTCTCGCTTTTCTACGGGAACATCATCTACATGTACATGCAACCGGGAGCCAGCTCCTCCCAGGACCAGGGCAAGTTTCTCACCCTCTTTTACAACATGGTCACCCCTCTGCTGAACCCCCTGATCTACACCCTCAGAAACAAAGAGGTGAAGGGGGCACTGAGAAGGCTGCTGCCGGGGACAGCAAGGTAGGGAAGGAGCAGGGCATCTCCGGGGCCTCCCCCCCGGCCCTGGCCTCGACCCCACCAGGCCATGGTGGCCGCTGGGGCTCTGGGGCGGAGCTGGCCTTGGCCTGCGGCTCGGCTGACTCGGCTTCTCCTGGACTCTGCAGCTGTTTTAGCTCCAGCGTCACACGTTTTATGAGCGAACTGAGCAACACATTCCATCCAAACCCCCTCTCGTCGATCTATAAAGCGGGTCCCAGAACCACGGGGTAAATAGTCATAGAAATGAATTTCCTCCAGCTTTTACCAGAGTGCCAAGTAGGAAACAAATCTTCATCAGAGTTTTGCTTATGTCATTGTTTTGATGTCATTAACTTCATTCTAGCTATTCTAGTCAGAATGGCTCTAAATCTGTCCCTGTTCTCCATACGGACTAAGTGCCCCTCCTCGTGGAGCGGAGGGTGGGCAACTCCTTGGCCATGTCTGCAGTGACCTGGCAATGGCCCCGCTGTGGGCACCGCAAGGTGGACCACTTCCTGTGTGAGATGCCAGCCCTGATCTGGATAGCCTGTGTCGATGCTGGATTACGTCAGCATCGAACACTGGAACTCAGCACGGTCGGATGTTTCCGATTTCCCAAGTTCCCACGCAGAACTTTTCATCCCATCATACAGTTTTTTCTACCGTCATCCTCAACCTTTGGCATTTCCCCCAAACACTGGTGTAAGATTCTGGATAAACCAAAAGTTAACCGATAAATAATGATACACAGTCATTTAAATCTTAAAGCATCAGTATTTCTCAGGGATGTTTTCATTCTATTAGCAAGAAGAACATGATGTGTGTTAAGTTCCTGCTCTGTGCTGCGTGCTGGGAATTCGGCTAATCTTCCCGGCGTTTGTCTGAGGCTGGCATGATGATCCTTATCCCTATTTTACCTTTTGCTCTTTGATGCAGAAGCGTCCAATCATTTGCTCAAGGAAAACTGAACCAGAGATTTACTCCAAGTCCCGATGACTCCCAATTCCTGCTGTTTCTGTTGCATCAGGAACTTTTAAAGAGCAAAATCCCTTCAGCATTTGGAAAGCAGTGTTTCACAATGTTCCTCAAAGTTGGATCATAGAAACAAACAACACAGCACCCAAGAAAACTAGCCTTGCTCCTTAAAACTGTACGTAG